AAAGGTTTTGCCCTCCACCCGTGGCTGTGCGTGCTGTGGCCGTGGGAAGCGAGGAGGACAGAGGGAAGGAATCCTCCCTGCCGCCGGGAGAGAGGAAGGACGATTTATTCGTGCGCGGGGGAGGGAGGCACCGGCCGTTTCTCTAGGGAGAAAAGCGAGAATGAGTCTTGTGCTGGGGGCCTGCCTGCACCCGAGGGGATTAAACACCACCAGCCCCTCAAAAAAAAAAAAAAAAAATGCTCCGAACCAACCTAAAACTTTCAGCGGGGAGAAGATTGAGGAGCCTGGCCCCTGCGGCCGCCCCGCCGGCACCCACCCGCGGCCGCCTCCCGCCCCTGGCCCTCGTAGCCACCGTCCCACCGGGATCCGGACCCGGGGATTTGGTGGCTGTTGTTGTTGTTTTGGGTAAAGGCTGCCCCGGGAAGTGTAGCGATCGGTGGTGCAGTCGGAGCCCCGTTATTATTATTATTATTTATTATTATTGAGAGACTAAAATCCGCCGCGTTCATCCGCGTTCGCAACGGTGGTCTGGAGAAACTTGTCAACACCGATTGCGTGATAAAATGTGAATGATGATTTTATAAGGATTGAGCGGAGATATCCAAGGCACATGCTGACTGAATCCTTCCAGTCCTCATTAATGTTAGCAATTAACTCTTTCACGCTCAATTAGCCCCGAATAAACCTGCTTTAATAGATTCTGCACACTTCATTAATATTTTGAATAAATCTGTGCTGAACAATGCGCTTTATTCCTCAAGAGCACCACGCTCGAATAATGCGGAGCGAAAGGGCAATTTTATTCTCTTTCCAGTTAGTTTCCCAAACACAGATAAATTGTAAGCTCTATTTCCTCGCTTAAACTGATAGGAAGGGAAAATCTCGTTCCCCTCAAAGGGGACAAAATAAGTAGCCGACCTGGTGGCAAAATGCTGCACACCGATGCTATGCAGCAGAAAGGACAGAGCTGCCAGGCTTTAAAGGATTCAGGCAAAACAGGGAGACTTTTTTTGACAGATGAACCTGATTGCTGTAGTTTGAGGCTGTCGCAAGAATGCAGCGTTTTATGCCCGCTACTTTATCATGTTTGTAAAAATAAGCAACGTTCTCAGGGTAATTTACCTCCTCCATTCTTCCATGTGGAACTAATTAGCAAACCTCATTATTTATGAGTCAGGTATTTAATGTAACAAATATCCCTTTCAAAGGACACATCGGAAATTGATAATTCAAGGTAGAAAGGAAAAATACCGACTAGCCACAAGATTACTTAGAAATCCATTTAATTTCGCCCCTTGCTATGCTACCAGCAAAAAGCCGGGTGGATTTTTCTTTTTCTTTTTTTGGCGTATAGGGGAGGTAGAATTTAATCTGGAAGGTTAAGATTACAATGGTCTTAAAACAATGGCAACTGGACAATAGCATTACCGTATCTTCAAACAGGACAAAGGGTAAGAAAGCTGGAGACAGATGTAGTCTTTCAAGTTTATGATCCTATTTTGCAGGGTAAATTTATCTTGGCATGAGTGGTTTTTGTTTCAGTCAGAACACAAGTGGTTTGTTCTTAATTACTCACCGAGGTAGTTTGTGTTAAAAAAGAAAACCCCGCACAGTTTTATTGTGATGGGGGAATTCAAGCAGAGAACTCGCGGGGTCTTCTTCTTTAAAAAAATAAAAATAGAAAAGAAGCCCCGATAACGATCTGTTTACATGAAACAGAATTAAAGGTGGAGGTGACACCGAAATCAAAGAAACATTGATCTCTCTGCGGGCAAGCGGGAGAGCGGGGAGTTACTGCGCTGTGAAACACGTTCGCTTTGATGTCCCGGAGAGAGGGGACTTCTTTATGAAATACTCTGCTCTTCATCTATATTTTTGACTATCCCGGTCGCACAGAGCAAAAGTGTAGCTTACATTTCTGGAAAACTGCCAAGAAACTTGTAGTAACGTGAACACTCTGCTCCCACCTCCTCTTTTCTTCTTCTTTTTTTTCTCCTCTTTTTTTTCCTCTTTTCCTTTTTCCCTTGCTTTCTTTCTTTTTCTTTTCTTTTTCTTTTTTGAAAAATAATAGAACTGCTCTAGCAAAAAAACGCGGGCTCAATGGATGCTATTATGACCCGACTGTATTACTCCTTGTTTTCTGCCCCCTTCTTCGTTTGGGAAATCGAAAGAGAATTTTCAAAATGTTATCGAGCGAGAATTTATCCAAATTGACATAGTAGATTTTTGCTTATGTATTCCATGTGAAATGTTTTCTAAGGATACGAAGAAAGAAAGAGGGATAAGCCCAGAAATTAACTCAGTTTGCAATAGCATGTTTCATGCTTGAGAGATCTAGGGCTACCTAGACAGGAAAATGGACACGGAGCCGTTGTGACAGACAGAAAAAGACATTTCAGGTACCCAGACAAGAGTGTTTTCCGTGCACTTTGTTCTCGGGGTCATCGATTGAGGCATTTGTGCTGCGAAGTGGACACGCCTAGCGTATGGGCAGCACTAACAAAATAAAAAGCATTTCCTCAGCTGAACAACAGAACAGTCTGCTTGGTTCATCGGCCATAAACAGTTAAAAAAAAAAAAGAAAAAAAAAGGAGAGGGATGAGAATGTAATGTGTGCATTTTTCAATCAGCCACTACCCAAAATGTGTCCAATTAAAAAAGGCAAAATGTCACAATCTCTTATTCTGGGTCATTGCGATGGAATTCCTCCAAGGTTTGGGTCTCTCTTCCTGCTGCTGATTTATGTAAAGCGGTGTGAAAGGTGGACCCAGCGTATAGAGCTGCTCAGAGTAAGCTTCTCCCTCTCACATCCTCCCAGCCGCAGCTCCTTGGTCCAGGCAACAGCCCACATATAAATCAGATTTGTTTCCCTGGTCTTTAGACCTCTTCCGCCACCAGTTTCCACCCCCCCAGCCCTCCAGCCCCGAGGGACAATTACTGCTCTGCAGCACTTTGCTGCTTCCTTTTCCCCAAAGGGGCTTTACTCTTCAGGTGGGCATGAACTGACCCTCCGGGCTGAGTGCCATGAGGATTCTGCCGGGACCCTGTGGGGATCCTACAGCGACTCAGCAGGAACCCTATAAGGGATCTTATGGGAACCCTATGTGGATCCGGTAGGAACCCTGCAGCAAACCTGTGGGGATCTTACGAGCATCCTGTGGGGACTCTACAGGGACCCTATGGGGATCCTGCTGGAAACCAGCCCTACTGAGGGCAACTCCTGGAGTTCGCTGGGGGGAAAGAGAGCATCAGCTATAGGCTGCAGAGTAAGAAGGAGAGTCCCTGGGCTGCAGGGATGCGATGCCTCTAAAAGCCTTGGGTGCTTTCTCGCACCCACAGAGAGGGGAAGCTACTAACCACCCCTCCCCACCACCAACCCTCAGGAGGCATCTCCTGCCAAATGGTTGACAGCAGCCGGGGCTGAATTTGCAGGCAGGGCCAGATAAAGCCTTCGTGCTGCTGCCTGGTAGCATTTTTCCCTCTGCCTTGTGGGCTGGAATGGGTAGGGATCTGGCCCAGAGGAGAGGCTGGGGGCTTGGCGGGACCCTGAAACACAGAGCAAAGTGGTGGCACCCATCCCAGGGAAGGGCTGCGGCCCTGCGGCCCTGCAGCTGGTGGGCTGGGTGTCCCCACGGGAAGGGTCCCTCCAGCCCTCGCCTTTTCGCCTTTTGAAGGGTTCTAATTAAGCGATTGCCTAGATTAGGACGTGGGCTTGAAGCCAGGCACTTCCCCCTGGGGAGAGCAAATGGCACTTCAGATTTGTCACCCAAACTCAGCATTTTCCCGTTTATTTTTGCAGTACGTAAGAGGGAGGGCTGTGGGCTGGTATTTTCCCCCAAAAAATTTTCGAGGATTTTCTTTGTTTGAATCAGGCAGGACATGCAGTTCTGAGCACACAACTGCCTCCACCACCCCAGAGGCAGAAGCTTGGCTGATGCCAGACCGCAGGGAGCTGAGCGACCCAGGGGCAGCGAGCTCGCTGCACCCCCTCCCCACGTCGCCTCAAGGGTCAGGGCTAGAGGCAGTTTTTGTGGACAGACATAGTGGGCAGTATCCCACTATTTTCTAAAGGCTGAGGGTGCCCAGGAAGGGATTTTAAATTACGTGGGAGAAGCCTGAGCTTTGTGGGCCAAAACAGCATCTCTGTGCTGTCCCTCTGCAGAGGATCATCGGAGGTCTACCTAGCACAGGGATGCTGTTGGGAGGTGAATGACTGTGGATGGGGTACAACATTTGTGTGCGAGGGATGGGGTGAGGGAAAGTCTGGAGACCTGTGGGGATAGACTTGCAGCCAAGAGCTGGTCAGGCCTCTCCAAGTCCGAGGCAGCCTCCTTCTGTGGCTTTGGAGAAGGGCATTAATAAGGGGTGAGGTGAGAAATTACCTCTGCTTTTATCTTCATATAAATCCACCTCTCCCTCTTCCCCCCTCCACCTTTATTTTCCAGATCTTTTCCTCCCCTGTTCCCAAGATCCTCCTCCCAAGCGGCCACCATGGGAAGTAAGACCCTGCCGGCCCCAGTGCCTATCCATCCTTCCCTCCAGCTCACCAACTACTCCTTCCTGCAAGCGTTCAACGGGCTGCCCGCCGTGCCCTCTGACCACCTCTCCAACCTCTACGGGTTCAGTGCCCTGCACGCCGTACACCTGCACCAGTGGACTTTGGGGTACCCTGCCATGCATCTGCCCCGCTCCTCTTTCTCCAAAGTGCCCAGCGTGTCAAGCCTGGTGGATGCACGGTTCCAGCTGCCGACCTTCCCGCTCTTCCCACATGTCATCCAACCCAAGCAAGAGGCCACCAATGTGACCCTCAAAGCCAAACCACGCTTCGACTTTGCCAACTTAGCAGTGGCCGCCACACAAGAGGACCACTCTAAACTGGGACAGGCAGACAGCCAGGGCTCACCCCCAGGGCTGGGGTCTTTGCTTGAGGTGACTAAACTCTCTCCAGAGAAGAAACCCACGCGGGGAAGGTTACCGTCCAAAACCAAGAAGGAGTTCGTGTGTAAATTCTGTGGCAGGCACTTCACCAAGTCCTACAACCTTTTGATCCATGAAAGAACCCACACTGATGAAAGACCCTACACATGTGACATTTGCCACAAGGCCTTCAGAAGACAAGACCACCTGAGGGATCACAGGTAACAACTCTTCTTCTCCTGTCCTTTTTTCTTTGTGTATCTCTACTCCCCTGGTTACTCTCCTACATTCATGAAGGTGCTTGTAAGAAAAGTGATGTCCCTGGCCAGCTGGCAGTGTTCCGTCTAGGTTTTCCTCTGCCCACTGCTGGTGGAGGACCCCAGATAACTCGCTTTGGAAGAGAGTTGTACTCACTCACTCTGCAAAAATGACTTGCACGGCCTCCTTCTTAGTTTCCACAGATGTTTTCATCCTCCGTTTGCATTGTCTTGTGTTTTCTGCCTTTGCGATCATTCAGAAGTGTCACGAAGACACGCAGCCTGATGACACTGAAGTTAGAGAGGAGCTCTTTATCCCTAAGAAAGGCACCCTTGTAAGCCTCCGACAGCCCCCTCTCTTCTTACAAACACACACACGGACGATAGCCCGAGTGCCGCACTCCAGCACTCGGTCTCGGCAGTAGGCGTAAAAAGCTCTAGCATGTTCTCCGTCAGGTAGCTCACTTCTGAGTTTAGGCCAGTTATTTCTGACATCTCAATTCTTTTTCTTTCCCTAGATATATCCATTCTAAAGAAAAGCCTTTTAAGTGTCAAGAATGCGGGAAAGGATTTTGCCAGTCCAGAACGCTAGCTGTCCACAAGACACTGCACACGCAAGTAAAGGAACTGAAACCTGCCAAACTTAAGTGCTGAATCTCCAACTTCTATGAACTTTTCCTCCCCTTCAGACTTTACACCAAAACCAGAGCAGAAACAAAACTTTCAGGATGGGAGCACTGAACTTTGTGTTTTGTTTTTGTTTGTACTTTAAAAAGAGCAAAATCCACACCCCACCTCCCCCTACTCAAGAAACTAATTTCCTAAGTCGTGGGTGAAAAGATTATTTTGCATTTAAAATATACATGAATGATGCAGAGAGTGCTAGCTGACTTGTGTGGCTTTGATAAACTTTATGCCAAAAGGTGGTGCTCACGTGTTGGACAGGAATCTCTTTAAAACCAAACAAAAACCCACAAGCAACACCCCCCCCCCCCAATCCCTCCAAAAAAACCCCAAACTGTAGCTTCCAAAAGTATTACTTAAAAAAAAAAAGAAACCCCAACCTCTTATTTTATACTTTTTTTTGACTGTATAAAGCTTCTTATTTTTACACTTCAGGAAATACAGAGAATTCCGGAAGACGATTAAGAACTGAAATGGTGGTTTCTCATCACAGCACCATTAGGACAAGGAGAAGGGCAACTTGCAAATCTCATTTGCTAGTTTGTTTTCCTAAAAGGAGAAGAAAATTAATGTTTGGAAATGACCTATATCTCTCAAGTGGGGAGTCCTATCATGTGCTAGAAAACGCATCCAGATCTTAGACCTGTGGGTCCCCGGTGTTCAGGACAAATCAGTGTTCATGGGACATGGAGACCTTTTTTTTTGCCTTGTGGTCTAGTGTGCTGTGAGGAGGTTTGTAACTTGTGGACTTATTTTTAAAAAAAACGAAGGAAAGAAAGATGGCAATATGTCAAACTGACGGTATGCACAACGTGGTTTTAGTGGTACTTTAAAGTCTTCGTGCGTCCTGATGAGAGAGAACCTGAGAGCATATTTTTTTAAATGCTGGCTTTCTGAACAGTGTATTCAAATTAAGAGACATTCCAATAAGTTTTGTTTATTAAAAAAAAAAAAAAGTTGTATGGCTGTTTGGCACTTTATGCTGATTATTGGTAATTGACATTTATCACTGGATTGTGTGTGTTTTTTAAGTATTAAAATAAATCGTTATTTTACAGGCAAGTCTGCATGGGCTACATATGTGTTCATTTGGTTTCTGGTCTCTTCCCGAGCAAACCCTCTCCGTCAATATTCAGAACTTTTCTTTTTTTTTTTTTTGAGTTAACTCGGTATTTCCTCAGTGCTTGTTTCTATGAGCCTTGGAAAGACTGGATCTTTCCTTCACGCATAAGCTCTCCCCCTCCTAATTTTCTCCCCCCCCTCCTTTTTCCTTTCTCTTTCTTTTTTTTTCTTTTTCTTTCTTTTTTTTTTTTTTTTTTTTTTTTTTTAAGGCTGACAAAAGTAAACAGATCTGCAGGGAGTCGAATAATTTTGCTGCTAGTGTGGAAGAAAAAAAAAATCGCCTTGGGTAACTAAATCTTGGGTATTAGCTGATAAGATTAGGTGTCAGAAGTGTTATAAAACAAATCAGATGAATAATGGGCGAACTGTTGCTGCTTTCACGGCCCGAAGGCGCTGCGGGGAGGGCCGCCTTCGCACGCCCTTGCCTTCGCCTGTCAGGAGCGGGCATTTTTCAGTCTCATCTTCGGCCGGTTCAGCGCTGATTGGGGCGGCCTTTGATTCCCGGCAGCTGTCTTAGATCAGAGATGTTTACTCCGCTGCGGAACGGCTCTGGATCGAGACGGGGGAGAGCGAGCTCCGAGCTGGGGGATCCGCCTGAGCCTTTGAAGGGCCTCTCGCCGTCCTTCCTCGGCAAACCTTAAACCCTCTTCCCCCGTCGCAAGCCAGTGTCCTCCTCCCCGCTAGAAGAAAGCCTCCTGCAAATGAACATTAAAAGACGTCCGCGGTGACACCGGCCCTGCCCCGGCGGCTCTTGCGCTGCCGGAGCGGGGATGCTCTGCCGCCGCAAGCCGCTCGGTCCGAAGCGGTTCCTTTCCTTAGAAAATATTTCTTTATTTGGGCAAGGAATCCCATCAAGGACAGGGAAAAAGTTGCAGTTGTAACTTATTTAATGTAAGGGGTGGGGGTGGGAGAAACCTCTCGCCCCCTCTTTTTTACTGGACACCGCTCCGAGCTCATGGTAACGAATGGAAGGGCACTTGGTCGGGCGGCAGAGTCCGCCCTCAGCGTGGGAAGGCCCGCGGGCAGCGCAGGGTGCATCCAGCTCCGGGGGCTGGGAGAACGGGCAGAGCTTTGAAGCTGGCTCGCTTTTGCTTTGCTTCCCACCCGCCACTGGCTTTGCGCACCGCGTAAAGGCTTTCGGGTTCGTCTTAAAAGGCATCCGAAAACCCACCGCTCGGGACAAGCGAGGAGCGCTGGGGGTGAAATCCCCCAAGCCTGTAGGACGCCTGGGCTGCCCCCCCCCCCGCCCCTCCACAGCCGGGGGCCGCCCC